GCGCCACTACGCAAAGCGACTCCGTCGCCCCACCTCTCGCAGAGGATGGCTAGATGGCTAACCTTATTTGCGGAGTATAACTTCGAGGTGAAGTATAAGCCGGTAAAGCAGAATGCTTTTGCTGACGCGTTGTCACGCAGACCAGACTTTGAGCTTGCTCATGTTACAACTGTAACGTCATCTGTGACGTATTTGATCCGCACCGCGTATGCGGGTGATGGGATGTGTGTAGCGTTGCTACGAGTTCTAGGGAGCAAGAGTTTGAGAACTCGGACAAGAAATTATCATCAAGACTGCGTGCACGATTGCACCGATATTCGTTGAGTAACGGTTTGCTATATTTTAGCACCGACTTATCGGATACACCACGAATTGTAATTCCTCATGATGAGGATTGAAATATCGCATCCACCATGAGACTCACGATACGCCGCTCAGTGGTCATCTCGGTCGTGAGAAAACATACAACTCTGTGAGTTACCACTATTGGTGGCCAAAGCTGTACAAATAGACGAGCACCTATGTGCGCACGTGTGAGACGTGTCAACGGGAGAAACCCGCTCCAAATGCGGCTGCGCCGCCGGTCAGCTTACCGGTTGCCACTGGGTGCTGGCAGTCCATGAACTTGGACTTTGTGTTTGGCCTGCTGAAAAATTTGGCGGGCAACACGGGTGTCGTGGTATTTGTCGACCGGTTGAGCAAGATGGCTCATCTGGCGGTGGTGCCAGACACCATCGACGGAGTCGGTACAACAACGCTGTTCGTGGATCGTGTTTTTCGTCAACACGGACCCCAGAGTCGATTGTCTCTGGTAGATATCCCCGTTCACGGGAAAATTTTGGTCGACTATCTTCAAGGTGCTCGGCACCAAGTTGGATATGTCGACAGCGGATCATCCGCAGATCGATGGTCAAACCGAAAGTGTGAATCGCGTCATCGAAGACGTTCTTCGCAGCGTCTGCACTGAGACGCCAAGGCGCTGGAGCGCCATTTTGCCACTCGTAGACTTTGCACTGAACAATGCAGTGTATTCATCAACCGGCTACACGCCGTTCTACGTGAACGGGCTGATTAACGTCGCCATCATATGGCCCAGGGCTTGGCGGGGAGGAATAGCCGAACGGCTAGCTGATGTCAGCCCCCTCACCATCCGTAAAGAAGT